TAAGAATATAGAATGTTTCATTTATATGAAAATGCAAAGATATTTTGGAAAAAGACTATAAGAAGATGCTTATACAAAAAGTATGATACATATTATTCACTTGTTTAATGAACATATTTCATTTATTTAATTTATTGATAGTTTGAATATTTATTTTTAAAATTATTTCGCTTTATTTCTCTATCATCTAAATATCACCGGAATCTTATAAGCATACTTTCCAAAACTATAATATTTAAACCACATATCTTAATAGAAAATAATAAGGCGGCACAAATTAACATTTAAATGCGTCCCAATAATTATAATTTAATAATTTAAACTAAACTTAGTTAACATCAAAAATAGCGACGCCCATGATGCCAGGATTAAAAAATAAGAAGGATAATTACATATACATCATCCAAAATAACAATATTTATAGATCAATCATTCAAGGGATCTTTTAAAACCACTGAACCGATTTATTTACACGTGTCATCATCAAACCAAAAAGACGGATAAAAATAAAAAAGATGGATTAAATTTTGATATTTTGAGTGAGAATTTTAAAAATGGATGAAAGAGAGCTATTGACTTGTAAATAATAAATAAACAAACAAATATTATGTATGGACTCCGGACCTCCAGACGTAGAGATAGGTCTGGAGTCTAATAAAATCACACCACATTGATGTGACAAAAAAATCGTTTTAGCATAATTGAATATTGTTCTCGTATTATTCCGCGTTATTCAGATATTATTGTAGTGATATTCATGTATTATTGTGTTATGGAAATATTCTTGGTCTTATAACAACAAGAAAACACATAAATACCATCACAATAACACTGAATAACGCGGAATAACACGGAAAAAATATTCCCGTGTTATCGGGCCAGATCACAAGAAAATGCTTTTTTTTTCCTTGTTAGCTCCATGTGAAGATGATTCATTGGACTCCGAACGTAACTTTGAGGGTGATCTACGTAATTGCCCTTTAAAATAAATGGTCATTGAAATTAAGAATTAAAAAAGAAAATGAAAAATATGAGTTATAGACTTTTATCGTGAATTTTAATATTCGACTGAAAATTAAAAAAATGAATGGAAGAGAAGGGTTGATTTATAAAAAGCAAGTTTCGAGTGGTCTGTATGTAAATGTCCAAAAAATAAATGTTCCCCATGTTTAGATAAACACAAGGAAAGCGAGCTTAATAAATCCTATATATAATCAAAGCCCTCTTCTCCCCTCTCCCTCATTCTCCCCTGCAATGGAACAATTCCCCTCCTCCTTCCCCGCCCTGATCTCCTCCTCCCAATCCTTCCTCTCCATCTCCTTCTTCTCCCTCTCCGCCTTCTTCTTCCTCTCCTCCCTCCTCCTCTACCTCCACCGCTCCCTCCCCTGGTGCAACTGCGACATCTGTACCTCCTACCTCAACTCCGATTGGTCCGACGAATTCGACAACCTCTGCGATTGGTACACTCATCTCCTCCGGCGATCTCCGACTGGCACCATCCACATCCACGTGCTCGGCAACACCATCACATCCAATCCCGACAACGTCGAATACATCCTCAAGACCAATTTCGACAATTTCCCCAAAGGGAAAACTTTCTCCTCCATCCTGGGCGATCTTCTTGGCAACGGCATATTCAACGTCGACGGAGAAACATGGCACTTTCAGCGAAAAATGGCGAGCCTTGAGCTCGGCAGCATATCCGTTCGCACTTACGCATTTGAAATAGTCGCCGGCGAGGTCAGCCACCGTCTTCTTCCCCTCCTCCGTTCAATCTCCGCAGCTCCCATCGACCTGCAAGACGTTTTCCGGCGATTCGCTTTTGATAACATATGCAAAATCTCCTTTGGGCTCGATCCGGGCTGTCTCGATCTCTCCCTTCCATTATCGGAGTTCGCGGCGGCGTTTGATCTCGCCTCCATGCTCTCCGCCCGGCGAGCGGCGGCGGCCGCGGATCGTGTGGAAGATCAAGCGGCTGTTCAATTTGGGATCGGAAAGGGAGCTCCAGCGATCGATTCGTCTGGTGAACAATCTTGCGGATGAGATGATAAGACAGAGGAGGAAACTAGGGTTCGATTCCGGCCACGATTTGCTGTCCCGTTTCATGGCTTCCGTGGATGATCAGAAGTACTTGCGCGACATTGTGATCAGCTTCTTGCTCGCCGGGAGGGATACGGTGGCCTCTGGTTTGACGACCTTCTTCCTCCTCGTATCCCAACACCCGCACGTGATTGCCGCCATTCGTGAAGAGGTGGAGGAGTTCCTCGCCGGCGAGATTCTCCCGACGAACAAGCAGCTGAGGGGGATGCATTACGTTCACGCGGCGCTCTACGAGACTCTGCGCCTCTTTCCACCGATTCAATTCGACTCCAAATTCTGCAGAGAAGAAGATGTGCTTGCAGACGAAACTTTCGTCAGCAGGGGAACGAGGGTAACCTACCACCCCTACGCCATGGCTCGAATGGAAACCATTTGGGGGGAGGATTGCCTCAAGTTCAAGCCGGAGAGGTGGCTGCAAAATGGCATTTTTACCCCAGCGAACCAGTTTAAATATCCAGTCTTTCAGGGCGGGCTTCGGGTTTGCTTGGGGAAGGAGATGGCTGTCATGGAGATGAAGACGGTGATCGTCGCCATTCTTCGAGAATTCAATATTGAGCCGATTGGATCGGAGGGGTTGAGACCGAAGTTCGCCCCCGGGCTGACGGCGTCGTTGGCCGGCGGATTGATGGTTCGAGTGAGTAAGAGAAGATGAGCGTAGGGGCGGTTGGGGAGATTGGTGGGATGTACAGAGAAGAGATGTACTTGGAAGATTTTCCATTCTTAGCAATTCAACCGATCCGAAGCCAAAAAAAGAGAAGCTTTTATGGTTTTGCTGATTTTGGTTTGGGGTACATAACACGATTCTTATTTACATATTTAACCAAAAAAATTTAATATTTATATTTTTAACACTTTTATTGTTGCATACAACAACAAAACTTTTACCCAACTAAATGGGGTCCGCTAACTCTGAATGTCCGTTTGGGGCAGCTTATAAGTGCGGGCTGCGTTTTCAAAACGCTGCCGTACAGTTTGCTTCGTGCGTTTCATCAGCTTATACGAAATTGCGTTTGTGTTTTTACACTAAACGCAGGTCGCGGGTCGACCCCTACGACCGGCACGCGGGCCGCATTTTAGGATAAGCGGCTTATCCTGAAACGCACAAGCTACCATAAACGAACCTTCAATCTTCTTTATCCATTGTGTCCTATTGAGTTAGCTGCAGTGACAAACAAAATTAGAGAGACTAGGAAAATTTACACAACACAATTCTTGTGTATTTACATATCTAACCATGAAAAATAAAATATTTATATTTATAACACCTTGTTATTGTATACAACAACAACAATAACAAAACTTTTGCCCAACTAAGTGAGATCGGCAAGTGAATCTTTTTTTCTCTATTGTGTCCTATTTAGTCAGCTCCAGTGACGAACAAAAATAGAAAGAAAGTCGTCTTACATGGTTTAGTCACATTAAACGGCGACCATCTGATGATCCGATTAGGAGAGTAGATGTTTTAGATTCGACTATTCGACTTATGTTAAGAAAGGTGCATATAGATCTAGGAAGACTTAGGTTTATTGGATAAAAAAAATGATCTTAATTTAGTAGAACAAAATGAAATCATCACACTAAATATGACACAATGGAGAAAAATGATTCATGTAGCCGACCCCACGTAGTAGAATTAAGGCTTTGTTTTGTTGTTGTTGTTGTTGTGTCCTATTTAATGTCATATTTTCATTTAATTCTAATAAATTAAAATGATTTTTTTATACGATATGCCCAAGTCTTTCTAGGCCTACCTCTGTCTTTCTTAACGTAAGTCGAATGTCAAACATCTACTCTCCTAATCGAATCATCAGATGATCGACCTTTAAATGACTCATTGCTATATAAACATGGAAAAGTTGATTTTGATTTGTGTTAATTTTTTATGCTACTATGTTAAGGATTTGAGCGTTATGCATGTAAATATGAATTTTTAAGTGTTTGATATGCAAATACACAAGAATTGTGTTGTATGTATGCAGATGCTGCTAATAACAAATAAAAATAAAGAGATTTAAAAAAAACTATTGATGTCTGCATGTCCGGACAACTGTCATGATCCAACAACATCATCGTGCATTTCGTGTGGTTGAATCATTGCCGGTGTCGATACTTGCGAGCTCCTTGCCAAGGGCTCAAGGCACGTGTGCAATGTTCCTTGGAATGGGTTTGAACTATAAATATGTAGATTTTATTTTACAAAATTTAAAGTCAAATTTTGTTGGCTAAATTGAAGAGGGATTTATTGTTGGACAGTTGCCCATGTGATTGAGAAGGAAAGCAATTGAATGGTTCCAAATTAAGAAAATAATAATAATTTTCATTTTTATTTTCTTATTATTAGTTGTGAACTTTTACTAGTGGTAAAGATGTGTATTGGATTAGTTATCACACGTGCTGCAAGGTTTTATTTCATCTTTAAAAAGGAAAAAAAGGATTAAAGTGTAGGTTTATGACGAGTGTTAATTCTGATACACGCATTTAACAGCGAAGGAAGGCATCCACATGTGATAATTTCAACCCTGACAACAAGAAGAATGTGGCTCCTTTCAAGCAGTAGGTCCTCGAAAAGCATTTGGTCTGATGCAACGTCAACAAAATGTCATCATTTGACACGAATCTTAAAGTAACCTTAAAGTATGGCATGAAATTCAAACTTTTCTGTGCAAAGAACTTTCGAGCTTCATTAAAAATCATCCAGAACTTTGATTTCAATAAACTTACACGAATTGATGGGCTCTATGAGATGGACCAAACAGTGCTAAAATTGATGTAATCTGAGTCAAATCAAGTATAGAACGAGTTATTAAATCACATCTGGAAGATTCAGTACATAATTGAAAGGTCAAACGAATTTTAAAGCT